CATTATAAAACTGTATCCCTAGCCATCTTTTTATTTTATTGTTTTATTTTGAGAAAGTATCTTGCTAAGTTATCCAGGCTAGCTTTGAACTCTCTATAACCAAGGCAGGCCTTGAATTGGGATCTTCCTTCTTGCCTAAACCTCCTGAGTAACTAGGATAATAGACTTACACCAACAGCCCAGCATGAGTCCACACCCAGGAGCCACTACCAAAAAAACGTTAATCCGTTCAAGAGCTTGGAACCCTCACGGCCTAGTTTCTTTACACTAAGCCCACTTCTTAAACGGTCCATTGCTCTCCTGGTGCAATACTGGGGACCAGTCTTTCAGCACACAAACCTTTGGAGACAAGTCACAGCTGAAACAGTAGACATAGTACACATTTTCTTTAAGCAATCAAAAGCACTCTTCTGTGGCTGGAGTTGGAGCTGCCCCAGCCCTGCTCAGAACATTATCTAAAATGAAGCTAGGCCAACAGGTGCCCTGAAAACCAGAAACTAAGTCAGATGAATCCTGGCATAGAGTAAAGAAGACAGACAGAAGGCCAAGGTCCTGTGTTTCTGAAACGTGGGAACAGGATATCTGAGAAGAAAATTGTGCCAACAAGAAAGATGTAAGTTTGAGAGAAAGAGAGCGATAGGAAGACAGCATTCCAAGTACAGCATTCCAAGTGCAGCAATTCCGGAAACCCACTACCTTTCCATACTCATAAGACGCCTAGTTTTCTAACTGAATTGATTTGCCCTCTATCTGTGGTGGATAGCCAGAAGAATTCTGCTATACTGCAGGACACAGTGCTCACATCACTGTGACTCGCTACACTCAGGTGTGTTCCACATAAATGACTTATTTCTCCCCTATTATATACACCGGGAGGAAAAAACTAAGATGCCCACATAAATTCTTACTACTGTGTGTTGTTTAGTCTTCTGTCAACTTGATACAAGCCAGGATCATCTGAGAAGAAGAAATCTCAAATGAGAAAATGCCTCTGTCATAATGGTCTATAGGCAAGTCTGTGGGGTGTTTTGTTGTTGTTTTGGTTTTTGCTTAATGGTTGATATGAGAAGGCCCAGGCCACTGTGGGCAGTGTCACCCCGAGGCAGATAGTCCTGGGGTGTTTAAGAACAATCTAGGTGGATCAAGCCATCAGGCAGCACCCCTCCGTGGGGTCTGCTTCAGTTCCTGCCTCTAGGTTCTGCCATGAGCTCCCGCCCTGGCTTCCCTCAGTGATGGAGTGTGATCTGGGAGTTATAAGATGAACTAAACCCTTCCCTCCCTATGCTGTTTTTGGTCAGTGTTTATCATAGCAACAGAAACTAACATAGGAAAAAAAATAACGTTCAAATGTCTGGTGGCCACATTAAAACTGAAGGGAAACAAAAGGATTCCGTTTTGTAGAGCCTCTCGTTTATCCCATAGACACAAAATATTGTCACTTTCGTGAAGAGCCAGTAAGATTTTCTTCTTGCTACATACTTGGCAGGCTCTATATTTTATATTTATAGTATATCTCATTTTGCACTAGCCTTTTAGAGTGAGCAGCCACTGTGTGGTCCAGCAAGCACAGATATAAAATGTTTCCATTGCCCTAGCAACCTGAGAAGACAAGCTTTTTGTAGTTGTAGAGAAAAAAAAAAAAGAAACTAAAACTCAAAGACATAAACATTTTCTCCAACAACAGCTAATGAGTGCACAGCCTAGACTCCAACCTCGGCCTCTGGCCTCCGCTTCTGAAGCTCTGCACCTCACTCTGCAGTCTGCGGAGGAAGACGTGTTCAACACGATTCTGAGATACAGTCACATCGAAGGAAAGCGTGCGCCAAGACCTCACCCATACAATGACATGGCATAGATATGTCAGCTCTATTTTTTCTCAAATCATTAAAGAGAGCCTTTAATGAAAATAATCTCCAAGTCCACGCTTCTCTGTGAGTGCGTATTTCTGAGTGGGGTTAATTACTGTCAGTAACGTGTGCCTTCCCTCCATCACCTCTTCTCTAGCCTGCAAGGCACCCTGTATGTTCACAAAACCAAATGTATGTGTGCACGCATATGTACAGTATACATACACCCACATACCCACACAAACACACAGAGTTTCCATGGCTCTTACTAGCCCCAAAGTAGCTAGAACAGTAAGTTAAAGTGTTTGGTCTTTAGTTTCTGAAGCAGGATGCTGGGGGCAACTTATGCTTCAGAGAGAACCTCTCTCTGATCTTCCATTCTCCTTTTCTCTGTTCCCTTCTCTCCTGAAGGCACACTGTAGTAACTAAGATCGCTCTTCCCCAAGTCAGATTACTAAAACCAAAAGCATAGTATAACCTTCTCCTGCTTTTCCTGTCTTCCATCTTACCAGGAAGACAGCCTTGGCCTACCTTATCCAATAATAGATCCGAAGGCCTTCATTCCACACAAATTCTGCCCCATACCAGAAAGGAAGGCACACTGGACAACAGGGCCATGAAGAATCTGAACAGACAGGGTGTGCTGGATGTCCCTGTCTCTGAGCGTTAGATGAGGCCCTTCTGTCTAGTCACATGGCATACAGTAGCCCATGCTTCAGTCATATCTATGCACTGAAGTCTCCATAAAATCCCAGGGGAAGGGTTCGGAGAGCTTCTGGGTAGCTGAAACCTGCGGAGACTGAGAAAGGTGAGGCGGAACTGATCCACATCCCCGGAGCAGCCAAGCCCCTGCCAGAGAGTTCTTCCATGTGTGTCTCCATGCAGATCCTTCCTTGTGCCCTTACAGTAAACCAACAAATGTGTTCCCCTGGGTTCTGTGAGTCACCCTAGCAAATGAACAAACGGGGGAGCTGTAGGGAGCTGCCTGTAGTCAGGGGTCAGAAGCCCGAAGCCTGGACTCCAGACTGATGCCTAAAAAGTTCTGTGCAACTGAGCCCTTAGCATTTGAGAACCGGTGCTGCCCACAAGCAGGCAAGGGCAGAATGGAATTCTGCTCTAGAACTGATTGCCGGCTAACTGATGGCAAGACCTAACCATGCACTTTGAGAGCTCGGAAGTGATGCGTGGCAGAAGGAAAGCACACAGTGCAGTCTCGGAAATGGGGTTTGCCTTGCCTCAGTCATGGGACCTCTCAAAGCGCTCAGGTTAAAGCCCTAACCTCCTAATATGTATATATTAAAGATGGGGACCTACAGGAGGTCCTTGGGTTAAGATGAGGTCACGTAGGATGAATGCTCAGCCCAAGTAAGACATTTATACCATTCCACCTAAGACTTAAGAGAAAATGCAGCAGGGTTCGGGGGGATGTAAGAGCCAGAAGATAGGGACAGGAGCTTCAAATCAACCACGGCAGTCATGCATTCAGAGCAGCTCCCGTTGCCTGCATTGAGCCAGCAGAATCACCCTGTTAGTCATCAGGCAGGGATGCAGGAAGACTCAGGGGCCTCTACCACCCGCTACTGTACTACTTGCTACTAGTAAGGTTCAGGAGGAGCGGGAACCATTTCCTTCAGTTTTGTGCCCTCTGATATCCCCACCAAGTTCCAGTGGATAGTGTCGATCCAATGGTCAAAAAGATGACCTCTAAGCAGACGCCAAGACAAAACCAAAAGTCAAAAATCCAGGAAGGGGACTGCAAGGGGGAGGCGGAGTGGATGGGAATGGGAATGGGAAGGAGATAAGAGGGGATGTGGAGAGAGAATAATCAGGATACATTCTAAGTGTGTATAAAATTATAATTAAAAAAATCAGCCCATCTTTAAAGTACTATTTTATAATGGCGAGGTCATGAGGGCAGGAGCCTTGTGAAAGGGTTAGTAACTGTAAAAGAGCAAAGAGATTAGAACTTTGCATGAGAGGACAGAGAGAGAAGGTAGCTTCCTTCAAGCCATAAGAGGGTCCGTACCAGGTACTAAGTCAGTCAGCGTCTTGACCTTGGCCTCCAGACACTTAAAACCACCAGAAATAGACACCATTGTTTGTGCCGCCCAGTCTGGGATACTTTGTTTCAGCAGCTTGAGCTAAGACACTGCAAGTGTACTGGACTGTCTCTGTGTCTGAACCCCAGATCTCCATGAACTTCCATCGGCTTCCTTGGCTCCTCTTCCCCTCCAGAAGCATGAGCCCAGGCTAGCCAGCTGTGAGGTGGCAGCCCCTTGGAGAAGCTGATCCTCGGCATCTCAGCTGACACCCCCAGGCATGAGAACAGCTGAGTGTGGCCCAACTCAACACCGCGAGCAGATGCTCCTAATTCCTGCCAGAAGTGTGAACTACGTGTATGCTGTCTCGAGTCACCCCGTTCAGATGGGTCCTTATACAGCAAAACCTGAGTGACAAACACATGAACATGCTTCAGGATCGAGGCGATAAAAAGTGTAATACTTAGGGCCAGAACGTGGGCTGAATGCTGCCTCCCTATGACTCGGTAAGGATGGGTGGCCCGCACTTTTAATCCCAGCACTCAGACAGCAGAGGCAGCAGGATCTGTGTGAGTCTAGTATCTGTGTGTGCCTAGACTACACAATGAATTGCAGGCCAGCCAAGACTACATAGTGAGATCCTGTCTCAAAGAGAGAAAGAAAAGATACATTCTGTTTCATAGAAAGTAAGGACGAACTTGAGGAATCCACGGAAGGGAAAATGCAGAGAAAGAGAAGGGAAGTGGCTGGAAAAGGAGAGGAGGGGAGTGGGAAAGAAACAATAGAGATCTGAGTTCAAATCCTAACTGCACAACCCAGTAGCTGTGTTAGTTAAATCACCCGAAGCTCAAACTTACACCTTCTCCCAAAAATGCTCTTAAAAATGTTTACAGTACACAGCAGAACAACCTTCCTTAGTGGGCACTCAGTGCATCTCAGATCCCTTCTTCACCTTCTCTTGTACCTAGCAAGTCCTATGTGATTACGCTCAGTTTTCTTCATATTATATACAGCACCATCGCTACACATTATTCTTAATTTGTTCACAGTTCCTTTCCCATACTGGACAAGTCAAGTGACTGAAAATTATCCACTTGATGACGTTATTAAATACCTTGTGAAGACTGTGCTGTGGCTCAGTCCAAGCACTAAGGCCTCAGAACAAGGGAAGCAACAGTACCGCTCTCAATGGGAGACCAAGGTCCTGAGGGCAGTAGGCTTCTGGCGTTAAGTCCTGAAGTCAAAACTTGGAGTGTTGATGCCCAGGAAGGAAGAGTTGTGAACCCCGGATCCAAGAGGCAAAGACCTAAAATCCTCCAGTCATTCTGTATTGTCTGCTTGCCCTTGGCTGAGCGGATGGCACCTGCCTACATTGAGGGCAGAGCTCCCGTGCTCAGTCAGTGAGTCAAATGCCAGGCTCCTCGGGACACAGACATACCCCCACAAGAGAGCTTTCTTTACCAGATCTCCGGGCAATCCTCACTCCAGCCAAGTTGACACCATCTCAGAGATGAAAGATCTTTACACTGAAAAGAAATTAAAGAAGACACAAATAAATGGAAATAAATCCTGTGCTTTAATGCTGTTAAAGCGTCCACCAATCAAAGCAAACCACAAACTCAGTGCAATCTCTATCAAAACACCAGTAACATTAACCACAGAAAGAGAAAAATAACCCTAAAATTCACGTGAAATCACGAAAGACCTCTAAATAGACAAAGCAATTGTAAGCAAACGGAACAAAGTCAGAGGCGTCACACTATTTAATTTCAAAACACACTACAGAGCTACAGTGACAAACCACACGAGACTGACAGGAAGACCACCAGGACAGACTAGAGAGCCAGACATAAACCTGTACAGTCAGACCCTCCTGGCTTTCCACAAGAGTACCAAGAACACACAGGGAGGAAAGAGGAAGTAAACAAATGACCAGTGAAAAAGAGACATTTCTCAAAAGACATACAAATGACCAACAGATTTATGAAAAGGTGTTCAATATCTCTCATCATCAAGGTAGGACAAATCAAATCCACAGTGGGCTCGCCTCATCCTGAGGATAGCGTCTACCAAAACAACACAAAGGGTACATGTTGACAGGGATGTAAAGAAAGGACACACAAACATACACACACACACCACCCTGTGGGTGGGAATAAAAGTTAATACAGCTATTGTGGAAAACTTTTAGAAGTTCCTCAATATTAAAATTACAACAACTGCATGACGCAGAAAACCCATGACTTGGTGGTGTACACTCAAAAGAAATGGAATGAATGTCAAATTATGACCGTCACTCCCATATTTACAGAAGTATTGATTACAATAGCTAAGATACTGAATCAAACAAAGTGTCCATCATTATAAAACTTGAAGAAGAAAATGCGGTATGCATATGTAACAGAATACGACTTAGCCATGGAAGGAGGACATCCCACGATTTGGGACAACATGGATGAACCTGGATGATGTTAAGTAAGCCAAACCAGGCGCAGAAAGACAAATGCCACTTGACCTCACAATCTGGCATTTATACAGGTGATGCAAACAGAGAGTAAAATGGTAACCACCGTGGACCGGCTGGTGTGGAGTGAGGGGGGTGGATAAACGTTAGTCAAAGGGGCACAATGATAAGGATAAGCTTAAGAAGCCGACCGAACGGCACCATCACCGTAGTCAATGACGGCTTATTATGCTATATGCTTGAAAAATATAGAAACAGTAAATTTGTGTTCTTGTCACAGAGTAATAACCATGTGAGGCATTCACCTGTTCATTAGCCAGATCTGACTGTCCCACAGCACAGACACACGTGTAAATGTATATTTTTAATATAAATAAATGTAAACATATATCTCAAAATGTCACATTGTTGTACATTTTATATATATATAAAACACATATCTGTAAATTTAAAAAGTAATAAAAGGACATAGAGATGTATCTTAATGGCAACACATTTGTTTAGCACATGTGAGTTCCTGGGTTCAGTCACTGGCGCCAAACCCACTTTTCATGCATGTGTAGCAAAGTCATTATTCAGGTCTTCCTAAGTGTTTATTTTCAACAGATCAAATTCACTAAAAATTTTAAAAATCGAATCAGAGGCCAGCCTGGTCTACAGCATAAGTTCAAGGATAACCAAAGCTACACTGAGGAACCCTGTCTCAAAAAAATAAACAAAAAATAAAAATCAACATATTCTAAAACAAAGCTTTAAGAAGAAAGTATAAAATAATATCTTTATAACATTCAGGAAACAGAATTTGCCAAATAGAATTCAAAAAGCAGGAATCAAAGTGCAAAATTAGCAGACAGCATTCAAGGCTGTTATGAACCTGAGGCTGCTGGGCAGTAGAGCACGCACACACAGCAGGCACGAGACCTTAGGTCCAATCCCCAGAAACCCTGGCCCAAAGAAACTTGCTCTTGTTCTTCCACAAAAGGCATCATTAAGAAGCTGAATATCATTGTACATTCCTATAATCTAATATTCATGAGGCTGAGGCAGGAGGATCACAAATTTAGTCTAGCCCAGTTGAAAATATGTTTGGGAAAAAAAATCCTTAAGATGGAAAAATATCCTTAAGAGAATAAAAGTATAAATACAAGTCATATTGTAAAGAAATATTTATAATACCTTTATCCAAAGAATACACACACACACACACACACACACACACACACACACACACACACACACACATATCTACCAGTGGGGATCTATGGTTCAACCATGCATGGTTCAAAACCATATATCCTACAAATCAGGGCTGGTGAAATGGCCTAGCAGGTAAAACCCCTTAACAGCTGAGTTTAGCAACCTGAGCTCAATCCTTGGACCCCACAGTGGATGGAGAAAACCAACTCCTTAAGTCGGGCTCTTACCTCTCCACATATGATAGAATATACATGGCCCATACATATATATCATGCACATACACTAATAATTATTTTTTTTAAATCTGTAAGTCAACAAGAACAAAGAAAGCCTGATAAGAAATTTGGCTGACACAGACCACGGTGGCACATGCCTTTAATCCCAGCATTCCAGAGACAGACAGATCTTTGAGTTCAAGGCCAACCTAGTCTACCCAACCGAGTTCCAGGATAGCCAGGGTTGTTACACAGAGAAACCCTATCTTGAAGGAAAAACATTGATAAAAGTTATTAAATCAGACCTTTTACAAAAGACTATATCCAAGTGGCCAATACTTTTTTTTAACAAGGTGCTTAACTTCTGGGTCATATAAAATAATCCTAAAATTCCTGTGAAATCACGAAAGACCTCTAAATAGACAAAGCAATTGTAAGCAAACGGAACAAAGTCAGAGACGTCATACTATTTAATTTCAAAACACACTACAGAGCGACAGTGACAAACCACACGAGACTGACAGGAAGACCACCAGGACAGACTAGAGAGCCAGACATAAACCTGTACAGTCAGACCCTCCTGACTGTCAACCAGAGTACCAAGAACACACAGGGAGGAAAGAGGAAGAAAACAAATGACACTGGGTACCGAAAAGCTAAAGTTTTGCCCTCTTTGATGGAGAGTCCTCTTTGCCAACATGACTGCACTGAAAACTGTTTACAAGGCCAGAAAAATCACACCTCTGGTGTGTCAGTGAGAATATTTCCAGAAAGGATTGACATTCCAGAAAGGGATGACCTACCCTGAATGGGGGTGGTATCACACCATGGGCTGCATAGAATTAAAAAAAAAAGAAAAAAATCCAGATAATGCAGGTATTACTTATCATCTATCTGTTATCTATCCATCTATCTATTATCTATCATCTATCTATCTATCTATCTATCTATCTATCTATCTATCTATCTATCTATCTATCTATCTATGATCACTCTGTCTGTATCTCTATCTCTACTTAATGTGTGCCCCGAGTTGAGCAATCTCTGCCATGTGTTGCCATTGCCATCAGTTACCGCCACATCCCAGGCCCCCAAAATCCATGGAGCCTAAGAATATGGGGTAAAACCTCTCTAGGGCCAGACTTTGAGGATGTATGGGTTTATTCCACTTCCTGCTCACTCTCTCTGCTTCCTGTTTGGCTGTGATCGGATCTCTCAGCTCTGGCTGCCTGTCACCATGCCTCCCTCACCATTATAGACGCTTCCTCTAGAACTGTAAGGCAAAAAAAGCTTCTTTAATTTGCTTTTGATGATAAAAGTAACTGATACAGCAATAGAGATTATTTTCATGACGTTTCAGATGAGAATAAGGACTCTGTTGGGAATTGGGCTAAAAGTCATTCCTGTTTCCATTTTGGCAAAGAACTTGATCACATATTATCCAGGACCTGCATCTTGCCAGAAGGCTGGGTATAAAGGTGATAGACTAACTGATCTGAGTGAGAAAATTTCAAATAATCCAGAATTTAGTCTGTGGCATGGTTATTGCTGGTTTCTTCTAGCCAGCAATACAGTGAGACTAGGTAGCAAATTGCAGAGTAGGAAGGACCTGGGAGAATTCACAATTCGGTCATAAATCCCAGAGTGCAAAATCAGAGCTAAGAAAGGTCTGGTTTCTAAAGGAACTAGGGTTGTTTAAAAGAAGTCAGGCCAGTTGCATCAGAGAAAACGTGTCTTTGTATGCTTCCGAGAACTAGCCAGAACTCACTCGTGGCAGACTCGAGAATGTGAAATACTTCCCTCTGAGTACAGAACACCTCTGAGTCACGCAGCTCACACAAGCCCACCTAGAAATCGTTTCCTCGGGACTCTATGGCTCTGCAGTCCAGGCACACAGACCTCAAGCTGCAGCACAACTTTGGCATCTGCCGCCTGATTTGCAAGTATGCAGAAAATAAAAACGACAGGGTTATGAATACTTCCACATAGACTTCAAAGGGAGACCTGGGGGCGGGGAGGCAATGTGTGAAACTGGGAGCACAGAGAGGCAAAGGCACAATGGTGAACACAAGAGGTTAGCAATACCGATGCCAGGAACTCGAAATACCTGCCGAGGAAAAGCTCAGGCAGCAAGCAGAGGTAACACAAGAAAGAAACCATGTGGGCTCTGGCCAGCATGGTCATAGGGATGGCGCTCCCTAAGCCACTGAGAGCTTACATTACCACACGGTGTGCTCAGACACCAAATACCAGAAGGTGCTGCAGGCTTTATGTTGGCCCTGATGCGTTTGGGTCTTGCTTTGGCCCCATCCCTTCTTTTTGTACCACCATCTACCCCGTTTGGATTGGAATGTGTATCCTGTGCCACTGGATATTCAAAGTATGGGATTTCCTTTTCCAGTTTAGATGGTTCTCGTTACTGAGTTCGTCTTCTGTCTTGGGAAACTTCGGATTGGAACTTTGGAACAATGTTACTATGGGAATTCTTGGAGATGGACTGAATGCACTTTGCATTATGAGAAAGACATGAGCCTTTGGGGGCCAAGGATGAAATGTTGTGGTTTAATTTGTGTGTGTGTGTGTGTGTATGCATGATGATTGTGTGGACATAGATGGCACAAGGCACAAGTTCCAGTCAAAGAACAACTTA